AATAAATAAAAATTAATTAAATAAAATAAAATTTCTAGTTGATAGTGTTAATGGCTTTTTTCATTTGACTGCATAAATTTCTGCTTCTAGATAGGCTTTACCACTGATTTTATTGATGAAACTTGCTGCTACTCTTGTATTTGTAGGTTTATACCTATTATTTAAAATAGATATACTTGAAAAATAGAATGAATTCGAACAGCTTTTGAACATGTTATTTTTCTTCTTTTGAAAATGTAAGATTATAATAAGTAATAACTTAAGGCCTAAGAAAACGTAATTGTGTTAACAAAATGGGACAAGGATAGAGGACAATCGGAAACACGAGGCTTTTATGCACTGTGAATTCCTAATTATAGATACTACTCTCCATTTAAAATGCTTGCCCCTTACTCCTTTTGATATCGTATGCCTTGTAAAGCATGTAAATGCCTTGTATTATTCAGTGGGCCAAGCTATCACAGATTCTAAGCCCATAATTTCAAAACAAATAAATGGGCGTGGATCCGCTGAGCTAAATCCCTGGCCCAGCACAGTCTTAATTCGGTTGCTTCTTCACGCTACATTTCTACCTCAGCACCTAATCACAGCTGTTTTATTTCCAACATTTTATATTAATTTGTTCGTGAAAAAGGTACTTCTAAAACAAGAGACGCCCTATTTATGTCCATAAACTCAGACAACAGGTCTAAAGTCTACAACCTCATTTCTACATATGGCTAGTCAGAAGCATTTTTCCTTAGGACTTAATGGAGTGCAGAATATGTTAGCCCTGAAAATACAGTGCTTTGGCATAATGAATACTTTAACCTGAAGGCATCTGAAGAACAGAAGGTACAAGATGTCTCTGACCCTCCCCTAAAGCTGGCTAAGACCCTTGAGTGAGCTGGGGATTTAGCTCAGTGGTTCCCCTGCCTGCCTCACAAGCACAAGGGCTCAAGTTTGATCCCCAGTACAAAAAAAAAAGAACCTTAGATGAGAGGTATATTGATTAATATATGAGAGGTATATTGTTTAATAGAAGAGTCTGGAAGAAGGAGATATCCTTATCTCAGGCAGAAGAGGGAGGAGGAACTCCAAGAAGAATCTAAAACAATTCTTGATAAGTTTCCAATGGTTTACTGCTCTTAGATCTTTTTCTTACTGCATTATTGCATGACTTTCCACTATCTCTTAAACCTAGTATAAGAATGCTCAGATTTACTAGTTCCTTTGAATCTTCATTTCCTCATGAAGGCTCCTGTGTTACAAAAAACTTCTATTAAATGCATAATTGTATGCTCTCTTCTTAATGTGTCCTTTGTTAGCAAGACCAAAGGTAGAAGGAAATATATTTTTTCCTCACCCATAAAATCACAGTAAAAAACTATCATTTCAATTATTTTATGTTGTATACATCTTTCTGTACTAAGCACTGGTTTCTGATACTTAGAGCAGACTGTCTCAGGATTTTAAGAGGTATTGGGGATCCCCAAAGACTTCCTAACATGACCTGTGCTCTGCTGTAACCTATTTGCGAGAAAGTCATGTTTCAGCATGTCTCACTATGCAATTGAGCCAGCAACCCAAGTCCCTAACAAGGCTTCTGAGCACTGGTTTGGGTACAGTGGGTCTTGGGGTGGGGGAGTGGAATACAGGTTTTGCTGTGAACTTACTATACCCCAGGCTGGCCTCAAACTCATGGTGACCCTCTTGCCTCAGCGTCCCAACTGTTGGGGTTACAGGTAGGCATATGCCACCATGCCTGGCAGTAGGTCTTTTGAATTATAATAAAATTTAAATTTTATAATTTAATTTTTTATGTCATGAAATCCATTTCTAGGATTTAAACCAGAGTCATAATTGTATAAGGTACAGTCTTATCACCCAATTTCCCTTCTCCTCCTAGTCTTTATTTCTATCTAATGATAAGTGACATTTGGGGTAGCTTGTCTTAGACTCCATCATTAGCAGCTTCTTAGTCCTGGTCCACTTCTGCCCATGTGAAATTCAAGTGCGTTCTTTGCCCTGCCATTGGTGGGAGCATAGTTCATTTCTCAGTGCAGTTTGTCTTCCTTTTGTCTCCTGGGCTTGCTGTTCTCCTTTTGCTCCCAGCCACTGTATCTTTCTCAGGCTTGAGTTAAAGCACACCCATGCAGTGTCTCCCACCTTCCTGGAACACATACAAAGTTCCCTAATTGAAGCCCACTCTGTCTAGTTTAGAGACGGAGGTGTTGAGAGTGCCCTCATCATCCTCCTCATCTTGGAAGAAAGAGAGGGTTGGGAGTGTGCCATAGTGTTCTCAAGAAATCCTTTCTTCTCTCGATTAACAAGACAGAGCAAAACTCTCCAAGTGCCCCAGTCCAGAGTTGTGTTAAGAGTTTTGTAGTCATTTCCTGTATAAATTCTGCAAGTAATAGCCTACCTCTCATGTAGTGGAATCTGATATCTGTCCTATTTTATCACCTCATTCAAATTTTTGTTTAAAGGATATCTTTCAGCATTTTTTCATTCAATTAGAAAAGGGCTTTTGGTCATTAGGGTTTTCCTAAACACAAAAGAACCATGGTCCATCACAGTTTGATAGCGTTTTATTTTCCATATGGCTAATACTTGGGGAAAGTGAAACAAGTTGTCCAATTTTTGGTTGAATTATTATAACTATAAAAGTAAGCCAAGTTGTATGTTGACTTTTTTTTTTTTTTTTTTTTTTTTTTTTTTTTTTTTTTTTTTTTTTTTTTTTTTTTTTTTTTTTTTTTTTTTTTTTTTTTTTTTTTTTTTTGCACATTAGTGATGTTTTTTAGGTTGAATCAGGCAGGTTCATTGCACATCTGATCCGCAGGCTTAACATCAGGTGAACCATCTATCTTGAAGATCTGTGTACCCTCTGCTTTCTAGAGATTGTGATCGCTTTCTTTACAAATTACTTTTGCCATCTTATTTTGTATTTTGTATTTTTGGTAGTTCTCATTTTTTGTTGTTGTTTTTGTTATGTTTTGTTTTTGTGTCTACTTTTCTCTTTTACATGGGATAAATACAATATTCTCCTTTAATGTAATAGTCTAGTCGTGCACTAACCTGTCTTAGTTTGAGGCCTGTCTTTTGCTCTACCCCCAACAGGATGCCCTGGTTTATTTGGGCTTTGATCCTAGGAAGTTGGGGAGAAGGATGCAGATTATCACTGTCTGTAGCTGGGGGTAAGTCCCGCTGAAGAACCTGTGGCGCTGGCTTGGAGCTGAGGCACTGTATTTATCGCCCCATGTCATTAAGAGCTTTCCTCTCCAAACACCAGCTTCTCTTGGAGCTGTTTCAGAAGCCGGGGCCTTTATAAAAATCACAAAAAGCCCAGGGACCAAAAAGTGGAAAGTGACCTGCCACTTCTGCTTAAGGTGGACACTGGCAACAGGCACAAAACTGTCCTCACAGCCTGGGCATGGGAGGACTAAGGGTCTTTGGCTGGGTCCACAGGTGGATGCCACTGTTTCTCTCACCCTCCCCTTGGTGACTGCACACACAGTTTCCTTTCCGTTTTCCACCTTCCTCCTCTTTACACAGCACTTTGGCGCCTTCTCACTCCTATCTCTGCCTGCTCTGTTCCCTGCTAAATAATTTGGGGGTTGTAATGGATATAATTGTTCTTTTCTCCTTTGAACCTTGAATTTTTGTTCTTATTTTTGTCTTTTCTTGCCTTTTAAATTTTTTTTTATTTTTTTCTTTCTCTTTCTTATCTTTTTTTTTCTATTTTCTTTTATGTGTACTTTTTGTTATCAAGGTCCTTGACTTTTTTTTCTTTTTTTGTACCAGGGATCGGAACTTGGGACCTTTTGCTTGTGAGGCAGGCGGCAGCACCACTGAGCTAAATCCGTGGTCCCTAGGTCCTTGACTTTCTAAATAGCATTGAGCTTATTTTCATCACTCTTATTGCTTATATCTGGCACCATTTGCTTAGATTTTTAAAAAATTATCATATATTTCCTAAGAAACTCCTTTTTAAGTCTGAGATCTTGTACACCTGGAAAAACCGTATTGTGTTCTCAAATTTAAATGACAGTTGACTGGATATAAAAGTGGAGGCTTATCATTACCAAATCTGACAGCAAAGTTTTGTAATAAAGCATGATTAAATATGTACAGTTTTAGTAAATATAAAAATTCAAGTAAATAAACTTCTATCAAAGGACTTGTGAGATCTCTTCAATTTTATTTTTCCTTAAATTCTTTTTTTTCTTTTTTCTTTTCTTTTTTTTTTTTTGGTACCTGGAACCTTGCGGTTGTGAGGCAGGCAGCGACACCACTGAGCTAAATCCCCTGTCCCTTAAATTGAGATGGTCTCAGAGTAGGTCTCTTTTTCTGAATTTTTTGTAATTAACTTATCATTTAACTCTACAATCTGTTCTTACCATAGCAAAGATTTTTCTCTGAAAAACCTTGTGCTAACATAGAGCACATTGTTGTTTTCCTTTCGTTTTATGCTCTTGCTTTCTGCAGTATTCCCTCTAATGATAAACAGACTTTGATCTTTGAGTATCTTAGGTAGCCTAGGCATTTCTTAGTGTTAGTAGGAGGCTTGTGATACCAGAGAGACCAGAAGGAAGGAGGAAAAGTAAGAAAACATACCTTGAATCCAGAAGCCCTCTTGAACCTGGAGACTGGTTTTCTCTTGTAAATTACACCCATTTTTGTCTTCATGCTGCCTGAAACAACAGCTAATCATTTATAAAAAAAGTGGAGAACACTGAAAGCTCTAAAAAGTTTGCCATCCTTGTGTTAGGTGGTTGCTGCTTATTTTTAATCTTAGATATGATCAGCTTAAAATGACAGTTGATAATTAAAATATTGTCAGTAGATATGGTATGGGAATTATACAATTAAATGGGTGAAAGAGAAATTAAAGTTGCTCCATCAAATTAATAAATACTCATGTATGTTTTTTACTCTTGGAACTGATTCTTAAATTATGTTCTGAGGATTACTGTTATTGTTACTAAAATAAAATAATACAAAATTCTGAAAAGGAGATAGACTGAGCAAATTGTGTTTGTTTTCTCATAGAATTGTCTTAAATGTACTGAAAGCAATGGGCAAATGACAAATCTTAACTTGCAAAAGCCTGTATTTTTGCTTAGTTTTATCATTTCTTCTTATGATTAAATAGGTATTTTATGATCTAAAAAGAACGTGCAGTTTTGAGGACACTTTGAAACATGAATGTTTGAAAATCATTGTACTTAAAAAAATCAGTTCTGGGCCGGGGATTTAGCTCTGCAGTTTGGTGGCCTACCTTGCAAGCTCAAGGACCCGAGTTCAATCCCTGGTACCAAAAAAATAAATAAATAAATAAGTTCTTTGAATTAGAATAAGCAGTGTTACAAAGACAAGTTCAATACCTGTCTGCATAAAGTTCTTTCGGAGTAGGTAGAAGTTAGCCCTCCTCCCCTCACACATTCGTATATGCAAAAAACAGTTTATTTACTTAAAATAAATAGCATTTTTTATTTTGTGACCTTACAGGAGCCCAGGCTTGCGTGCTTGTGTTTTCTACCACAGACAGGGAGTCTTTCGAAGCAATTTCCAGCTGGAGAGAAAAGGTAGTAGCTGAAGTCGGAGAGATACCAACTGTGCTGGTACAAAACAAGATCGACCTCTTGGAGGATTCTTGTATAAAGAAGTAAGATGGCTACTTCTGGGGTAGGAAATACGCTCATTATGTAAAGTTAAAATATTTTCGTTTTTGCTTAGATTTATAAAAGTTAGGGAAGCTTTAACAATTCCTTAAATTCTAAAGAATTTACATATTTAAAGGCTTAAGTTGCCTTAGATTTTCTGTGAGCTATTCTTTGTGATTGGTTTAGGTTAAAAAAAAGCACAGTGGGGTCAATGTAGATAATAATGAACTGTGCATTTCAGAAACCTAGAAGAAAGTATATTAAAAGTTTGTACCAGAAAGAAATGGTTCAGGAAATAGGTGTTTTTAATCTGATTTAATTAGACATGTATAAATGTATTGAAACATCACCTTAACCCATGAATGTGTACAATTTTTATAGTTTTATGTGCCAGTTAAATTTAGCACTTAGCATGAACACCGCCCTGGGTTCATTACCTAGCACTACAAAAAAATGCGTAAGTACCTACATTTAATTTAAATGAAAAGTTAAAAAATTTAAATCTCTGGTTTTTACATAAAAAAAAAAATTAAAGGAACACATTTCTAAGGGCGTTTAGAATTCTAGTTTAAATCTTTGTACTACAAAGTCAGTCTTTCTTGTTGAGGCAAACCTAGATAAAGCTGCCTGGTTCATGATATAGATATTACAAAAAGCATTCCTAGATATTGGAGTGACTGAGGTGAGTAGCTGTCCTATGTTGCTGAATTTAAGTATCAGAGTTTGGACTCCTATTGTTTTGTATATTCAGAACATGATTCTCAAATCTTTGAACAGAGTTCTGCATCCAGATAATTTGTCAGTATTTACTTGTAGCATTAATATTTTTGCTAGCTTTGAAAATCTTTGCTTAGTTTTTTTACCTTTTTAAAAATTCATTCTTAGCTGGGTATAGTGGCACATGCCTGTAATTCTGGCACTTGGCTGAGGCAGGAGGATCACTGCAAGTTTGAGACCAGACTGGATTACATATTGTATAGTGAGACACTGTCTCAAAAAAAAAAAATTTTTTTTTTCTTATATCTGTTGGTGTAGAACAAGTAGCTGACAACTCAGGGGCTTAAACTAACACTTTTTTCAGTCATGGTTTCTGTGGGGATCTGGATGTGGCTAGGCTGGGTGATTTTGCATGTGGCCAAGGGCAAGATGTTGGCTGGTCACACAGAGGAATGGCAGTGCAGAGGGCTCCGTTCGAAGCTCTCACACTGTGGTCAGTGGGCCTCTCTTTGGGGCCGTCTGAATATCCCCACACAGCACAACAGCTGTTCCCCAGCAGGTGAGCCAGGGCAAAGCCACAGTGCCCCTCATAGTCCAGTGTCAGAATCCCATTCTGTCACTTCTCCTGTGTCCTGTTGGGTACACAGACCAATCGCTGTGACAGACCGGAAGGGATGATGACCAGGAGGTGAGAGATCAGGGACCATTCTGGCGCATGGCTTGTCTGATTCCAGTGAAACTCAAACCTGAAGTCCTAAAGAAAGTAAACTAGAGCCAGGGATTTAGCTCAGCGATTCTGCTGCCTACTTCACAAGCGCAAGGTCCTGAATTTGATCCCCAGTACCAAAAAAAAAGTATACTAGGTGCCCTTTCTTATAGACCCAAATATTAGTATGCTGGCTTTGCTTTTGGCATCAAAATTCTTCTGTGGGCAATAAGAAGATATATAATTCAGTGTCAGATTTTTCAGAGTGTGATTAAGTCCAAGTATTCTTTTAAAAAGAAAATTAAAGTGTTAAAGAATGGCATTTACTTGTTTTATGGCCAGAGATTGGAGACTTTCTAGGAAAGCGATCTGTTTGTAACTACAGTATCATGGGTGGCTTTTATCCCTAACTTGCACAGACTGAAGATCCTGTTCAGGCTCTTAGGGAGAGTGTAGCTTCCCCTGGCTCCACCTGACTGGGCATCACATAAGGCTGCCTGAGAAAGAAGGGTGAAAAGCCCTGAAGGACCTTGGTGCCTTCCCAGCCCACACGTACCAGCCTTGCTCAGTAAGCGTAACTGACAGTGACTTGGTAAAAAGCTTTCAGAAGACTCCTTCATGCATTTTTTTAATTGACTTGCAGTGAGGAAGCTGAGGCACTGGCAAAGAGGTTAAAGTTAAGATTCTACAGAACATCGGTGAAAGAAGACCTCAATGTGAATGAAGGTAAATTGCATCTTCAAAAAATGTTCCAATAGGGAATTTGTTTTATTCTTTTAATGCCTTTTCTGTGGTGTTTCTGTGGGGTTTTTTGGTCCCCTGACATTAAGTAAAATTTAAAGACATTATTTATATTTACAGGCCTTACTTCATAATGAACACTTGTTACTTTCTACAAGCAGCTCTGGTGGGGTTTTAGGGTTTTATTATCGTTAAAGATCTAAAGTATGAATGTATATACATGCATGTGATTTGATTCATAACTTTTAAAAATCATGGAATTGTTTTAGTACTTCGTGGCAGTAGATACTCCAATGGGTCATTACAGTGACCTTGATTTGCTTAATTATATTTCCCAATTTAAGAGTGTGAGATTAGAAAAAAGAAGATGGTGAATTTTCTATTTCCAGAATTGTTGCTAATAAGATTGCAACCTGCCTGTCACGTGGGTGTTCTAGAGACTCTTCTCCCTAAAGAAAGTAGACATCTTTTTAAGACTGAGTTAGTTTAGTGGTGCTAAAGAGTAATTATAAGCTGAGTATGGCAATTGCTATGATCCCACCAATCGTGAGGCTGAGGCAGGAGGATTGCTGCAAGTTCAAGGGCAGCCTGGGCTACATAGTGAGTTCAAGACTAGTCTGAACTATATAGTGACTCAAAATACTGAAAATAAGTAAATAAATATAATTGAAATATTTTAAAAGGGAGAGCAAGGAGCAAGTGACTAGAAGTATTATTTCTTTATTAATAAAACACCACTATCATTGTACTTAGACACTGCTCAGATTTTTTTTTTTTTTTTTTTTTTTTTTG